CCAAAAAACCAGGGTGATCATAAAACCCAGGGAGAGACAGGATACGCTTGGTGGCCTTAGTCCTTTTCTTTGCTAGACTCTATTTTGTTTTCTCAGTATTGCCAGACACTGGCATAGAGAGCTGGGGTTAGAAAAAGCAAACACTTGGACTGGGCATGGTGGCTTAAGCCTATAATCCCAGCACTTTGGGAGGCCGAGGCGGGCGGATCACCTGAGGTCAGGAGTTCAAGACCAGCCTGACGAACATGGAGAAACCCCATCTCTACTAAAATACAAAATTAGCTGGGCATGGTAGCGCATGCCTGTAATCCCAGCTACTTGGGAAGCTGAGGCAGGAGAATCACTTGAACCCAGGAGGCACACGTTGCGGTGAACCGAGATTGCGCCATTGCACTCCAGCCTGGGCAACAAGAAGGAAACTCCATCTCAAAAAAGAAAAAGAAAAAGAAAAAGAAAACACTTACTGAAAGCCTATTATGTACTAGGCTCTTTACACATATGAACTCGCTTTGTTCTTTTTTTTCTTCAGACGGAGTGTTGCTCTGTTTCTCAGGCTGGAGTGCAGTGGCAGGATCTCGGCTCACTCCAACCTCCCGCCTCAGCCTCCCAAAGTCCTAGGACTACAAGCATGAGTCACTGCACCCAGCTGAACTCGCTTTGTTCTTAACAAACATCCTGTGCAGCAGGTTACTAATATCCCCATTTAGCGATGAGAAAAATGAGTCTCATGATACTCAGAAAATAAATGACAAAACTGGAATCTAAAACCAGGCTTGTGACTCCATAGTCCCCCACTTTTTTTTTCATGATGATGCTAAATAAGAAAAGGAGGAAGATGAGTGATGGCAGATAATATCCTATACCTTCTAGGACATCATTCATTGGTGAAGTATTATTTATTTTACTATTGTACTGCCACACATATAAAATTGTCATAATTGTGATTCCATACTGTGACATTTAGAATCCTTGGCAAAGAATGCCTTCTTCCAATCCACAAAATTGCCAGTAATTACTCTGTCATGGCATCTCCTTACCTTCACCTCTCTTGCTAATCCTGGATATACTTTCTCATCATTGCCTGCCCCTGTTATCTTTCAGATGTCTCATCATGAAGCCAGCTGGGTCAGAGTTTATCAGACGTCGTCTCCTATTCATCTTCAGAGTTCCACCCAATTCCACCCTTATCTCTATCTGGATTCTCATCTTGGGCTACACTTTTGTGACCACTCCCGTTCTGTTCCCCAATCCTTATTCCTGAGCTCTGCTGTGTCCCCTTTACCATTCATGCTGTTAACATCTTCTTCCGGTTGTTTACTTTAAGCTAAAGTACATGTAACAGACTAGGGCATGTTAAGTTATAGGTCTTTAAAATCCCTGAAAACATACACCATGAAGATGTCAGCAAAAGATGACATCTCTATGACATCTGCTTTAGCTTCTCTCACCCTGGCTTAACCTCATCTGGGCTGCTCTTCACATCTCTTCAGATTTTTTATGTAATTTGGAGCCTCTCTACACATTGTTTTGCCACCTTCCTGCCCCCCCACCTTTTTTTAACCTAGGCTGCTAATAACAAATCTTTCACACTGCAGTTTTTTGTACTTCTGTAGTTTTTTGTGTGTATAAGTACCATTAATTACTTAATCAATCCATTCTTATTATGCATAGATGTTGCTTCCCAGTTTTTCTTACTGTAAATTACCCTGCTGTGAACATCTTCATGACTAAATCATAGTGTGTTTCTCTGATTAATTTTTTGTTTTTGTTTTTTTTTTAAATGAGACAGAGTCTCGCTGTTACTCAGGCTGGAGTGCAGTGCCATGATCTCGGCTTACTGCAACCTCCACCTCCTGGGCTCAAGCAATTCTCCTGCCTCAGCCTCCCGAGTAGCTGGGATTACAGGCATACGCCAGCATGCCCAGCTAATTTTTATATTTTTAGTAGACGTGGGGTTTCACCGTGTTGGCCAGGCTGGTCTTGAACTCCTGACCTCAGGTGATCCGCCCACCTCAGCCTCCCAAAGTTCTGGGATTACAGGTGTGAGCCACCACGGCTGGCCCCTCTGATTACCTTCTTATGACAAGTTTCTAGAAGTAGAATTTCTGGGTCAAATTATATGCATATATTTAAGGTTGTTGAAGAAGATTGCCTAAATTGCTTTGCAGAAAGTTTACCTCAGTTTGCTACCCTAGTGGAAGTATGGGGAAGGTTCCTGTGAATACTTCTGAGAACTATGATATCACAGGATTCACCCCAGGGCATCACTAATTAGTCACATGATCTTTGGCAAATCATATAATCTTTCTCACTCCCAATTGAGTTCTATTAAAAACAAGGAGTTGGTTTAGACCTCTATATTCTTCCTCCATCTAGTCCTTCTGTTGTGCGGCTTTCTCATTATGGGGAGTAGTGCCTTCCTGAATATTCTCTGGGGCTCTCAAAGGGAACTTAGATAGTGAAGCCTTAAAACAGGTGAGTGGCTGAAACAAAGATGAGGATTTTCTTGAAGTTTTCTCTTGGGAAAAAGAAAGAATTTAAGGCCAGGTGTGGTGGCTCAGGCCTGTGATCCCAGCACTTTGGGAGGCCAAGGTGGGGCGGATCACTTGAGGCCAGGAGTTTGAGACCAGCCTGGGCAATATGGTGAAACCCCGTCTCTACTGAAATTACAAAAATAATAGCGGGTCATGGTGGCGTACACCTGCAGTCCCAGCTACTTGAGAGGCTGAGGCAGGAGAATCGCTTGATCTCAAGGAGGTGGAGGTTGCAGTGAGCCGACATCGTGCCACTGCACTCCAGGCTGGGTGACAGAGGGGGAATCTGTCTTAAAAAAAAAAAAAGAAAAGAAAAAGGAAAAACAAAGGATTTACTATTGTGTTCACTTTCACTTTGGTCTCTTTCATTTTTTTTTTTTTTTTTTTAGCACTCAGTGCTTAACAAAATAGCCTTAGGTCCTGTCCCCACCTCAGTATGTCAGGGACATCTATGACCACCATCCCCATTGTGCAGGTGAAGAAATGGGGGACATGGAAGGTGTCAATGTGCTCAACTGTAGAGGGCGAGTCAGAGGTCCGGAAGAAACATGCATGTGGGGCTGCAGGCACAAAGGCTAGTCCTCAAAGCTCTAGAATCCTCTTGCTCTGCCTCAGGACAATATCTATCCAGTGATGTTATGAGGACTGGTAGATTCAAGGCTTTCAAATCGCCGTCCTCCAACAAGGCTCTGGGGTCACCTGCAGCCATGCACTCTTTCCTGGATCACGTGTGTCTGCTCTGCCTTTTTTTTTTCATATCTCTGGCAATGGACATTCAGGCCATCAAGGCATCTCTGCAAAAGGGTAAGGCCTGATACATATACTGACAAACTCACTGGTACATGGTGTTTGATATGTGCTTGCTGAATGCCAGGTTGTGCCAGGAGATGCAAAGATCAATAAGTCACAGGTCTTTCCCTCAAGTACCTTACAGTCCAGCAGAGCAGATAGACAAGAAAACAAACACAACAGTAAAGTCATAAATAGAAATTTATACAAAGATCAACATAGCAGAGAGGAGGGAGTGATTAAGTTGAAAGCTATACCAGAAGAAAACTTCAAAGTCTGCAGCATCTGATGGATTGCAGGTGCAAGGCCCTTTGAGAACAGCTGCACTCCTGAACTTTTCTCTAACATGAATTTGTATGTATTAAAGCCTATATCATTTCATTATACAACTGGATGTATGTGTATTAAAATCACATTTGATAATTCAACTCATTAAATGACCTAATGACCCTTTTGCTTCGCTTTCCTCCCTTTCTCAGCAAGCAAAAAAGTTTCTGAACTGAGCAGTCACATTGGGTTGAAGAGGCATGTGTTTCTAACAAATTGACACTTCATTATTTTCCATTGGGAGCAAATGTGCACCTCCTTTTGATCACTCGGAGCTTGTTACACAGAACAATAAGAAGGCACTGTGTTAGAATGACCAGGCCCTTCTGAGCTGGAGAAAATGCAGAAATACCGAAGAGGTTGAGCCTAACTATTTCAGTAAATGAAGCAAGAGGGTGGGGCATGTTACTGGAAGATAGGACTGAATGTAACTTGAAAATTATGTAAAAGAAGCTTTGGGATAAAGTGTATCGAGTTAGTTTGCTAGTTTCTAAATTCTGTAATAGTGAATTTCAGTGTATCAGGTTTCTATGTAACGAGGTGTGTATGTGAGAGCTACATATACAAATCTACTTCTTAAGTATTTCCCAAATGATTTGTGACATTTAGGGGGAACTCCATGGGAGATTAATACTAGAAAACTCTCTTACCTGTATAGAAGAAAAACATTTTATAATGTTAATCATCATCATATTTCTCTTGTAGAAAATAGTTGGAGAAATCTAAGGTTGAGAACAACAGATGTTCTGTATATTAAAATGTCAAGAGCTGTACTGAGGAAGTTTGTGGACAGGGTGGTAGGTAAGATTTGCATTTGAAAAGAAGTGTGAAATATTTCTGATTTTTATTTAGGTTATTAAAGTTTCAAATACTTAAAGATTTACTGATTCCTTCAGAGTTCCAAGTAGAGGCAATCATTTACTAATGACTGGAATATTCATCAGATAAATAAATGCTTTTAAGGTTTTTTTGTGTGCATGTTGTAACACAAAGTCTCACCCTCTTGCCAAGGTTGCAGTGCAGTGGCGTGAACACAGTTCACTTCAGCCTTGACCTCCCTAGCTCAAGCAATCCTCCTGCCTTGGCCTCCTGAGTACCCAGGACTACAGGCACACACCACCACACCTGGCTAATTTTTTGATTTTTTGGTAGAGACAAGGTCTCACTGTATGGTGTAGGCTGGTCTAGAACTCCTGGACTCAAGCAATCCTCTCGCCTTGGCCTCCAAACTGATAAATGCTTTTGTTATGAAACTGCTACTCCAAAAGATACGAAAACTGGGTTTGAAAGAAATTAGTTATTCATTTAAAATAAATGTATAATGCTATGGAGTAAATAAAAACCATGAGTACTGCTATATGCCTTAGCTTAGAACTTAAAAAAAAAAATAGAGTGATGGAGGCTGGGCACTTATAATCCCAACATTTTGGGAGGCTGAGGTGGGTGGATCGATTGAGCCTAGCAGCTTGAGACCAGCCTGGGCAACA